AATCGCCGTTCGGCACCATGCCAGCGCGAGCCCCGGTGAGAGTAGCATGGCAAAGCGAAGCGGCGCAAAGTGCAGTGGTGTTAGAGAAATGGGAAAGGAGGATCTGCCCTGTGATCCTCCAGCGCGCTGCTGTGCCCAAATGGCTCGATAGGTGCTCTACTTGAGCCAGAGAAAGGCTACGGACTCGTCGTCCTCCTCCTCCTCCTCCGCCTCCGCCTCCTCCTCCTCCTCCTCCACCTCCTCCTCCTCCTCCTCCTCCTCATCCTCCTTCTCCTCCTCCTCCTCCTCCTTCTCCTCCTCCTCCTTATCGTCATCCTCTTCGTCTTCCTCCTCCTCCTCCTCCTCCCAATCCTCCCCCCTCCTTCCCCCCTCCACAATCACTCGGTGTGAGTAAAACTCTCCTCGCTCCCACGACGGCGTCCTGAAAGTGTCCCGCCTTCCCGCCTGTTGCTGCTTGACATGCAAGGCTCCATATTACAGCTGCGCCTATGATTCATCCCAGGATCGTCGCCTCGCCCCCGTCGCTCAGAATGGCGCTCTCGCGCCCCAACGCGGGCCACTCCTCTGGATCGGAATATTTCCTCGTTGTTGTCGCCTCGCTCGAAATATCCTCCTCCGCCTTCCCCTGGTACTCCTCCGCTCCTCCCGCTCCGGATCCTTGTGCTGCTATTCCTCCTCGCCCTCCTCCTTCCTCATCCTCCTCTTCACCCTGCTCATCCGCCACTTCCTCCTCTGTCTGACTGGGCAGATCACGATGAGGTCTTTGGGGGTCTCTGGGTCCCGCGACAGACAGAGCAACAAATAGCGAAAATAGCGACAGGGCAGTCGGCAGACAGAGCAACAAATAGCGAACAAAAACAGATGTCACATATGGTGCGATTGCACGTAGCTTGTCATCTCGCCCCTCTCCCTCCTCTTCCCCGCGTTCTCTTCCACTTCTCCACTCCTTCCACCTGCTCCCTCTCCTGCCCTTCAAACCCCCCTCCTCCGGCCGCCCGAGATACTGAGAGGGCTCCCCGAGCGGAGGAGCGGGACGAGGTGGGAGGATGGGGGATCGAGGATCGAGAATGTCTTTGCATAATGTTTCAACGTCGCCCGTGGCCTCCGGAGACCTCTGGATACCCCCAGAAGATCAGGGCAGGAACGCGGTGCCCAAAACTCCAACTCTGGCGTCGACGCCTCCCTTCGGTCTGTACGGTGAGTGCATTGGATAAGGAACCACTGGATCAGGAAGCCAGGGTCTGGAAACGCGGAATTCCACTTGAGGCTTGGCCATGGATATCACCGCCATCCTCATAAGATCTCCAGGTCTCCTGAACACATTCCTGAACCAATGCCTCCCTCCCGCCTCAGTCCGGTGGGTAGTAACTGGGGGGTGGCCTACATGGGGAATACAGAGAAGGGCCCTAAAGGGCCCCTTAGGGCCCCTGTTGGGCCCCTGCTGGCTCCAGGGGGCCAAAACGAGGGCCCCTTCAGGGCCCTTCCAGGGCACCCTTTGCCACCCGCCCGATTCAGTCTGCAGGGGCAGTGCGGTGCCAGCCCGCGTCGTTCAGCGGTCGCGGCCCTCGCCGCCACACCGCCTGCGCCGACGGGCGCAAGCAGGAGCCCCCACGCGCCGCGCTGCTGCTGCCGCTTCGCACTGGCCTCGGTATGGTCCCCGCCCCTGAGACTGACAGGCCCGAATGCGATCACAGTCTTCTGGAGCGGCCCGCCGAGACCAGAGGAATCCTTGAGCTCGGCACCGAAGCTACCGGGAAAAAGAGCACGTTCCAGGCTGGCAAGCTCCCCTCGAGGAGCGGAGCACTGCACGAGGCAGAGACCTTCGGAGCTCCGCGCGGAGTTCCTGGCTCAGCGCTGGAACCTCCTCCATGCTCCAGGCGGGTAAGCTTCCGTCGAGAAGCGAAGCACTGCATGAGGCAGAAGCTTTCGGAGCTCCGCGCGGAGTTCCTGGGCCAGCGCTGGACCCCTCCTCCGTGGCGCGCGAAGCGCGCCAGGGGCGGCGCTGGAGGCGCCGCCAGGGGGGACCCACCGCCGACCGAAGAAGTCCGCGAGGAGCTCCGATGCTTTTGCTGTTTGTGCGGTACTCTTCGTCGATGCCATCGCAGCGTCTGGCGTGGATGGGGCCCTCCCGGTGGTGGTGGTGCCAATCACAGCGATGTGGATAGGGTCGAGAGCCACGGCAAGGATGCAGGGTAGGGACGCAAGGCCCTGGGAAGTCCCATTTGCCAAATTCATGGCTTCCCGGACGTCAGCATTGCCTCGGGACGGGCCGAAGAAGCAGGGAAGCAAGGGCAGCCTGGATCGTTGAGGAGGCAGCGCATCCTCAATATGGATTTTGACTGTATGCTCCAGGCCGGCAAACTTCCTGAGCTTTTTTATGATTCGCGATAACGGGCGTGATCGGGAGAAGGGGGGGGAAAGAGGTCGTCCCCCCCGATCACATCACGCCGGGGGGCCGCCAGAAAACTCAGGAGATCCTCGAAGAATCCGTAAGACATATTTCTGCAAACGAGGGCAAACACAGCGTGCCGTGATCCGCGGGGGGGGGAAGGGGCCGATCACGGCCGTCACCGCCCAGACCTTGCAAAGCATGCTCCTGCCCCTCCCCCCGTCCACCCGCTTCCATCTCGGCGTCTAGCCGTAAGTCGGGCCCGTCCCTCTCCAGGGGCAAGATTCAGAAATAGTAAAAAAATAATCGGGGGACCATTTGTTGAATTTGTTTGACCATGTTGGAGCATGTTTTACGTTTTTTTCTCTGCAGGCGGACAGGCCCGACTGAAGTCTAGGCCTTGGACGGCCTCCTCTCGATCCACCGACCGATTGGGGCGGGAGCGGGCCCCTGCCCCGCCAGTTGCCCACAAACTGCTTGATGGTGTGGTTGGGGTTCGACAGCTCGCTGAAGGAGGAGGCCCAGAAGACGAACGACAGGAACTTGGCCAGGGCCTTGCCGGGCCCGCGGCAACAGCTGACCGTGTTCTCAGGGTGGAGGGCGCAGGGTGAAATCCATCTGGGCTTCTGCACCTCGAGAACAAATCCGTCTTGTGATTCACCTTTGCCCTCCACCCAAAGAAAACGCTCAGAACAGATGGCCCTGCCTACTAAGACCACCCCAACCTTAGGAGGCAACTACTGGGAGGCCTTCGCAGGAAGGATTCGGGAGTAAACCCCATAGGGGTGGGCTGGTCAGCCGGATCAGGCCGCGGATGGGCGAGATTAAATCGGAGTATCGGGGATGGACAGACCCCCCTTTAGTAAAAAATGGTTTAGTGAAAACGACCTGAGGCCCAAACCTGGCGGGCGCAAGCCTGGAAAATGACGGCCACGGCGCCCTCTCGAGAACCGAAAACGGACAATTCACTAATCGACGTGTCACTGTTGGGGGTTCTCTCCACCCCCGAGAGTAAGCGGGATGAAGCCGGATGAAGCCGGATGTCGGGCCAGGGCGAAGTCAGAAGTTGACCCCACAGGAGCTGCATCCGAACCAACCCAGCCAGAAATCAGCCAGGAGCCGTCAGCACCGAGCCGATACATCGCGGCGCACCGGAACGTCCCTCGATCCGGGCGGACCCTGACAGTGAGCAGTTTCATTAGGGTGGAGGGCTCAGGGTCAAATCCACATGGGCTTTTGCACCTCGAAGACTAGCCCGTCTCGTGACTCACCTTTTGCAGGCTCGAGCCTCGAAAATCCATCGAAACGGCACTTCAGATTTCACCCTGTGCCCTCCACCCACAGGAAGTGCTCGGAACAGGAGGAGCCACGAGGAGGGACGGCAGGACCCTCGAGCGGTCTTCGGAGGTCTTCGGTTTTCTGCGTTTCTCCAGCAGGGGCTTGAACCCACTGAGCAGCCCAGCTCTCAAAGACGACCTCCTTCCTCCCAGTGCGGGGGGGGGGAGGAGGCCACGTTCGAGACTCAGAGCGTCCCGGAACGCTCCGAAAGCGTTCCGGAACGATCTGGAACGGATTATCCTCGTCCTGGCCCCGTCCGTTCGTCCACCCGTCGGCGCGCCCAAGGCTCACTGGCGGCACGCCGTGCGACAGGAGGAGGAGGATGAGGAGGAGGCGGAGGAGGAGGAGGAGGAGGACGCCACCCCTCCGCCGGAGCGAAAGTGATCGGCCCTCAAGTGAAGCCAAGCCTCCCCTCTCGCGTGAGGGCGGGCCCACGTGGGGCGCGAGGGGAAAAACATGTACGAGTGCACTGCTCACACGAGCGAACGCCCCAGCGAACGGCCCAGCGAAGAGAAGCACCGGCGGCATGGAAAAGGACGAGGGCCGACACGACAACGACAGGGCGTGGAGCAGAGTTCTCGGCCAGCAGTGTCCCTGGAGGACCTTGTAGGCACGATTCAGGACTACTGACCCGACTGTAGTCAGCGTGCTGGCGGAAGCAGGACAGCTGTATGAGGAACGAAGGTGCTGCTCTGGCCACGAAGAGGCTCCCCAACGCAGCTCTAGGGAACGGCCCGAAGCTCAGAGCCCCTCCCGAACCCCAAGTGATAGAACATTTCAGCGTCTTTGATTGCGGCGGGCTGTGAAGCAAAAGCAGGCCAGAAACAGCAACAGGATGGGATTCAACCGGATGAGATCGGGCTTGGCCCAATGAGGCAGGACTCCAATCAAGGATGGAAGAGTACCATGGCGGATGCTGAATTGAACCTCCCAGGAGTTGCAACCTAAAGCAGTCCACGTAGAGAACCGAAAAGACTAGCCTCACGAAGTGCCCAACCCTAAGCAGCTGCGTGTTGCGCAGGACATAGCTCGCATCCCATAGATCACGCGCCGCAGGATATGATACGTATATGGAGCTCGGGACCCTGTTGGGACACGACTTGTGTGAGGGTGTGCCGACATCGGGGAACACGTAGGGGGACCGCTGCAGCAGGAGGGGGGGAGCGTTACCTCGTGGGGGGAAACGGGCAGGGGGGGGGCATAACGTCGCCCTCCGCCTCCCCGTTCCCGAGCCGCGCCCAGCCGCGGCGACGAGAACCTCGGGCAAAGCCTCCTACGCAAACGCCTCGACCAGAGAGAAAGGAACAACAATACCAACGGAGGCCCGCGCAGACTTTGAAGAAGCTCCCACCCCAACCCCGCCTCCCCAAAGCCCGCCCCCCTCGCCCTCTGGGGTCCCAGGGCCATGCCAGGGCCCGTCCCGGCCACCATCCCGAGCCGCGACCCGCCGCCGCGACGACGACGACAACGGCGACGACGGCGACGACGGCGATGACGGCGACGACGACGACGACGACGGCGACGACGACGGACGGCGACGACGGACGGCGACGACTGGCGACGACGGACGGCGACGACGGGCGACGACGGACGGCGCCGGCGGCCGGTCTGCGCCCGCCTGCGCAGCCAGGAAGTGCGACGTGTGCGCCTCCACCTCGCCCGTCTTCATGAACATGAACAGCTGGCACAGCACGGCGACGGTCTCCAGGTAGAGAGCCTCGGCGCCCGAGCGCCACGGCTCTCCCACCCGGGCAGGGAGGGGAGGGGCGGCGCGGGGGAGGCGGCCTCGGGAGAAGGCGGCGGGGCTTCCGAGGCGGAAGGGGGGGGAGGCCTCCCAGAAGGCCCTGGGCGGCTTCGAGGGAAGCCGTCTCGGAAGCCTGCGAGGCGCTCTATACGGAGGAAGGGGGCCCCTGCCTCCTGAGAAGCCCCATCCGCCTTCCCAGAAGGCCGCCCCCTCGTGCCACCCCCCTTGTGGACGCCGCAACTCCTGCTCGTGGCCCACATCCCCTCGAGGCTCGAGCACGGTGTCTTCTTACGTCTTCGGACGGCTCGGGCCTCCAGGAAGTTCCCCGTGGCGCCAAACAGCGGGCCTCTGGTTTCAGTCATCTGCAAAGCAGACCACATGACACAAATCAAAACTGCCACATGCGATACCGTAATAGCATGCCACCAGACCACACCAGGGATTCACAATGAGCGCACTTCTTCTGTCGCCCGACGACTGCGGACGCACAGGGGGGGGGGGGGGGGGGGGGGCAAATGGCGCGTCAAAGAGCAGACGCAAGAAGAGGACGAGGCGGAGGAAGAGGTAAGCTGAGGCAAGGAGCACACGGGGAGAATGAAGACAGCGATGGATGGGGAGCGGAGGGCGATGAGCAGTGTGAAGATGGGAAAGGGAGGAAGGAGAGGGATGGGGAGGCCGCACCCCCCCCCCCCGATAACCTTTTTTACGAGCTCCTCTTCAAGCTATCACCTCGGACCGTCCCTCGGACCTGCTGCTGCTCCTCCCTTGCACCGTCGGGCAGGTCGCATCCTTGGACTCGTCGGCCTTCATCGTCCGAGCCGAGCCGAGCCAAGGAGGAGAAGAAGGGCCCACCTGAGTCACTTGGCAATCCGAACGTCTTGAGGTTGTCGCCCTCGCACGTCGTCATATCCGCGATCGGATTGGGTATGGCATTGCATCACACAAGATTGGCAAGAAGGCACCCGCACAAATTACACCATGCCCAACCACGCAAGGTGAGATCACACGCGACCAGACAAGACCAGCTCATGCCAGGCAAGACCAGCGAAGGCTGCACCACGCAAAATGTGAGCGAGACGCTGATGGCTGAATCGGCCGTTGCGGACTCGCGGAGCCTTTGCACGAACCCCAGAAGCACCGATCCCCCTTCCGGGACCAAGATGCACGTCAGTACAGTCGAGGCGTTGACCCAAGGAGCCCTAAATAAGGAGCGAGGCCCCTATTTTCCATAAGTTGAACTTCGATGTCCGATCGAAAACATAAGGAAAACCTGAGGCAAGCTGTGAGCATTAAGGAACACGGAGCCCCTCCCCAACGAAAAGGGTTTTCTGCCACGGCGTCAATGCATGAACCCGGAACGGTCGCGGCGTTTCGCCACGATGAGGGCAGGGGCAGTGGCTAAGGAACCCTTAGGTGTGGAGTCCAGGTTCTGGAAGCCGCCCAGGACAGACTGTACAAAAACCGAGGGACACCGAGCCACTCCCCAACGAGAGGGGTTCCTTCTGCAGCGGCCCGACTGCAGGGAATCCTCCAGGGTCCGGGGCCCCCTGGGCACACCCCTGAACCAACGCGCCCGACGTGGCGCGCGGATCCTTCGAGATCGGCCCACTGGGCGCAGCACGAACGCCCAGCTGATGTCGGATGGCAGGAAGCCGTTCAGGTTCGGGTGCATGATCAGCGAGAGGGCGAAAGCGGGCGCTATGAGCATGACCTCGTCGACTCCGCCGGGGGGAGGAAGAGGGGGAGGGCGGAGAAGGGGGGAGGGGGAGGGAGGGGCCGGCGGGTCAGGAGGGGGGGTGGGAGGGAAGGAGGGGGATCAGAGGGGGGAGGGGGCACGTCGACCTCTGCGCGATGGCACATCCTCTCCACAAGCGTGTCTCGTTGATAGCGGGTCCGTCCGACTTCCCAGGCGCATGTCTGTCCAGCCATGGCGGCCACAAGGAGCCTCCCGGGCTTTCGTTACGCTCCAGTGAGGCGTCGTTCAGGAGGAGTCCTCCTCAGAGCAGGAGGAAGAGGAGCCCGGGGAGGAGAGGAAGAAGGCGGGCGGAAGGAGAGTGGAACGAGAAGAGAAGAAGCAGGAGGAAAAGGTGCAGGAGGATGGAAAGTAGGAGGGGAGGGCACGTAGGAGGTGGGGGGGAAGGGGGAGGAGGTGGAGGCGGGAGAGGGTGAGGAGAATGTGGCGGGGGGGGGGGGCGGGAGGGGGAGGGGGAGGAGGAGCTCCAGCAAGGCCACTTCTTTATTACGCCCCGGCGCGGCGTTGTTCAGCGTGTCCGTAGACGGGTCATACGTGGCCCCGTAGCGGAACCGAATGAAATAGACCTAAGGGCGGCACCGCGAGTGATCGCGCCGGGTCGGCGTGCTATCGCATGGGCCCTCCCTTGTTCTGCTCCACTCGATGAAACAAAGTAGCACCCCCCCTCCCGCCGCTCCTCATCACCATAATCATCCGCATCCTGACTCCTCCTCATCCTCCTCCTCCCAGGCCCCGCTCCTCCGACTTCTCCTCCTCCTCCTCCTCCTGATCCTCCTGCGGCTCCACCTCTTCCTCCTCCCTCAGTGTACTCCCCCTGTCCACCTTCTCTTCTCCCTCTGTATTATCCATCCTTCTCCTCTTCCTGGTCTTCCTCCTCCTCCTCCTCCTCCTACTCCTCCTCCTCCTCCTCCTCCTCATCCTCATCATCATCATCATCATCATCATCATCATCATCATCATCATCATCATCATCATCATCATCATCATCATCATCATCATGATCATCATCAACATCATCATCATCATCAGCAACATCATCATCATCATCAGCAACATCATCATCACCACCAGCATCACGATATCACCATCATCACCATCATCATCATCATCATCAGCAGCATCACCGTCAGCATCATCATCATCATCATCATCATCATCATCATCAGCATCAGCATCAGCATCAGCATCAGCATCATCATCATCATCATCATCATCCTGCTCCTCCTCCTCCTCCGCATCCTCCCCCTCTTCCTCATGGTCCTCCACTCATCCTCCTCATCCTCCTCCTCCTGGTCATCATCATCATAAGCAGTATCAGCATCATCATCATCAGCAGCATCATCATCATCATCATCATCATCAACAGCATCACCACCATAATTATCAGAATCAGCATCAGCATCACCATCAACATCATCATCATCATCATCATCATCAAGATCATCCTCCTCCTCCCCCTACTCCCCCTGCTCCTCCTCCTCCTACTTCTCCTGCACATCCTCCGCATCATCAGCATCACCAACATCATCATAGTCATAATCATCATCAGCAGTATCATCTGCATACGCATCATCATGATCATCATCAGCAACATCAGCATCCTCATCATCAGCATCATCATCTGTTAGCAGCATCATCATCATCAATCATCATCCGCATCATCATCAGCAGCAGCATCATCATCAACATCATCATCACCACCATCATCACCATCATCACCATCATCATCATCATCAGCAGCATCACCGTCAGCATCATCATCATCATCATCATCATCATCATCATCATCAACATCATCAACATCATCAGCATCAGCATCAGCATCAGCATCATCATCCTCATCCTCATCACTATCATCCTGCTACTCCCCCTACGCCCCCTGCTCCTCTCCCTCCTCATGGTTCCAGCCTGCTCGTTCGCTCGCTACCTGATTATCCCTAGGCCCAGGCTCGCTGCCTAAACTCTGGGGTCCCCACCCCGGCCCAACTCGCCCACGTGGACCATGCAGGAGGAGGTAGAAAGGGAGGAAGGGAAGCACGCAGCGGGCGTCGCTGCGAGCACCCTGGGCCCGGGGCCACCACCGGGGACAGGCCAGGCGTCCCAGCGCCCACAGCCACAGCACCCCACGAGCCGCTCACTCTTGACGGCATCGGTGCGGAGACCAGATGCGTCAAGGCCGAGAGAATTGAAGAAGCATTACAACTCATGGGAGCTACCTGGCAGGGTCCCAGTTCATCAGAATGCACATACGGGCGTCGATCTAACACGCATGATACACAACATTCACAAATAGCGCGCACGAAGCCGAGGGACACTGCTGCGCCACAACGGTGTGCCACCCATCCTGCTCGTTGTGCCCACGTAGTCTGTGGTGCTGGCGACTGTAGTTACACCGCTGGGGGCGCTGCCGCAACGTGTGAACCCCTCCCCTGCCCCATCCCCACCCTCATTCCCTTCATTCCTCCCTCTTACTCCTCCCCATCCCTCATCCTTGCTAGTCATCCCTCCTCCCCTTCCTCCTTCTCCTCCTCCTCCTCCTCCTTCTCATCCTAAGTACTCCTCCTCCTCCTCCTCTCCTCCCCCTCCTCCCTCAACCCAACCAATACCGATCGGCAAGTCGAAGTGCGGTTGAGGAGCCGGCGATGGATCCCGCGAGGCAGAATCCGATGGCCTCGCAGACCTGGCAGGACCGCGCAGGTGGGTGGATGGGTGGGCGACGGATGACGAGAGCACCTCCTTCCACGGCAAGAGCAACAGGAAGAAGAGGAGGGGGGACGTGGAGGGGCAACAGGAGGAGGGCAGAGTGTGGAGGGCGCGAGGATACAAGGGCGGAGAAGGCGGAGGAGGGCGTACGAGCAGAAGCAGCCCGAGCAGCAGGAGAAATTGCTAAGACACAACAAAGATGATGCAATACATCCTGCCTCAACGTTCCAACATCATATGCCCCTACAACAAAATAGCTTCACTTCTGGAAGTGTTCCGTTGGAAGACAACCGTCTGAAAATCCTCAATCGCGCCAACACTCCAACCCTTGAACTTCAACGCCGCGATTCAACTTTCCTGTCGCGTCCTGAGGGTTCGTACCCGCGCCAGAACACCACTCCTGGGGCGTCAACACCGCGAATCAACCTGACTGTTGCGCCCTGACAATCCTAAAGCGTGCCGGAACACAATTCCTGGGACGGCCAAACATACGAATCCGTTCAAATGTTCTACTCTTTTGCAACGGCTGGGCGCGGCGCTAGGGCGAGAGCCACATTATGAGAACGAGCCGTCTTCCATTCGTGTAACTTCTGCATATGTTGAAGACGAATGTGCGCCGCACCCAAGCGAGAACCACATGTTGAAAACAGCCCGCACTCCACCCGTGCAACTTTCGCAACTTTTAGAACGTGTTCGCGGCGATCAAGCGAGAGCCGGATGTTCGCAACAACCCGCTCTGTCGTTGAACCTCTACAGATGTGCAAAACAACTGTGCGCGGCGCAAGGGCGAGAGCCACATGTGGAAACGGAGCCACCCTCCACCCGTAAAGCTCCTGCACGCTTTTGAAGCGAATGTGCGCGGCGCTGAGTCGAGAGCCACATTTTGAAAACGAAGCGTCCTCCATCCGCGAAGCTATTGCACACTCTAAAACGATAGTGCGCGGCGTTCAAGCGGGAGCCAGATGTTAAAAACGAACCGCTCTCCTCCGTTGAAGCTCTACAAACATTCAATACGAGTGTGTGCTGCACTGAGGCGAGAACCACATGTGGGAGAGGAGCCACCCTCCATCCGTGAGGCCCCTGCAAACTTTTCAGACGAACGTGCGCGGTGCGCGACGTCAAGGCTGGAGCCACAGTCTGAAAAGCGTACTTCCCACCACTCGTGAAAAGTCTGCAAGCTTCTGGAAAGGATGTGCGCGACACTCAAGCAAAACGACCCGTTCTCCATTCGCGAAACTATTGCAATCGTTTGCAACGAGTGTGCGCGGCGCTACGGCGAGTGCCACATGTTGAAAACCACCGCCATCGATTCGCGAAACCGTTGCACGATTCAAACTTCAGGGTCACAACTCGTGGGAAAGTCTCAGGCGAAACGCCCGGCCCGCCCTACTGACGCGTCTCGGGGTGCGAGAGGAGAGAGTGATTCATAAGGAGAAGGGGCTGATCAGGAGCAGGGGAAGCGATACGAATAGCAGCAGGAGGAGCCGCAGCAGGGAGGACGAGGAGCAGGAGGAAGGTGAGGAGCAAGGAGGGGGAGGACCAGGCACAGGGAGCAGGAAGAAGAGGAGCGAGGGATGACCGGCATAAGAAGCAAGAGCAGCAGAGATGCGGGGAGGAGGAGACCAGAGGAGGGGCAGCAGGAGCAGGAGCAGCAGATGCAGGGGGAGGAGAAGATCGGAGGTGCAGCAGCAGACACAGGAGGAGGAGGAGAACAAGGAGCAGGAGGGACGAAGAAAACAAGGGAAAGAGAGAGAGAGAGAGAAGGAGAGAGAGCAGAGGCGGGCATGAGGAGGCCGACGACGATGACATTGGCGACGGCGGCGGTCGCAAAGGCGACGGGGGACCACGACGACGACGGCGCCGCTGGGCAGCGGCGACAGGGCGACAGGCCACGGCGGCGAGGCTGGAAAAAACGATGATCGTGTTGGGAGGAAGGGGCTCAACGTTGGGAAGCTACAGGGCACGACTGTGTCAGAAGCACCTTCGACACACGCGGAAATTGTGGATGATCTCATCCCTCCTCCCGGCCCCCATTCCCCACCACCCGAGAGGTGTCTCTCTGGGAGGAGGAACGCCCGCCCGCACCCCCACATGGTCTCTGGGGGCCACCGAGCCGGGGGGGGGTCTGGGCGAGGGCCCCGCACCCCGTCGCCGGAGGGGCTCGCAAGAGCCGGCTTCGGTGCTGAGGGGCCACGGGGGCACATCCAGAAGCCAGCGACGGCGACCAGGAGGAACTGCAGATAGCTTCGCAAACACACGACGAAGGCGACGACGACGACGCTCCTTGCCCCTGCCCCCGCTCTGCTTGGGAGGAGGACGTGGCCTCTTGCATCAGGAGCCCCTCGTGCCAACAGTCATTCGTGCGGCAGGCTCGGCAGGTCCGCAGGAATCCACACGTCGCTGCTCTGGGGTGGCATCGGCTCGGGACGACAACACGGCTGCCGGAGGATTGTTGCACACGACATTTCGAATCGGCCCCTAGCACCCGGAACCACGCTCGACTGGCGCTATTGGTAGAGGAAGGGAGGAGGAGGAGGAGGAGGAGGAGGAGGAGGAGGAGGACGAGGACGAGGAGGAGGAGGAGGAGGAGGAGGAGGAGGAGGAGGAGGAGGAGGAGGAGGAGGAGGAGGAGGAGGAGGAGGAGGAGGAGGAGAGGAGGAGGAGGAGGAGGAGGAGGAGGAGGAGGAGGGAGGAGGAGGAGGAGGAGGAGGAGGAGGAGGAGGAGGAGGAGGAGGAGGAGGAGGAGGAAGGAGGAGGAGGAGGAGGAGGAGGAGGAGGAGGAGGAGGAGGAGGGGGAAGAGGAGGGGGAGGAGGAGGAGGAGGAGGAGGAGGAGGAGGGAGGAGGAGAAGGCGGAGGAGGAGGAGGAGGAGGAGGGGGAGGAAGAGGGGGAAGAGGAGGAGGAGGAGGAGGAGACTGAACGTGTTCTCGAAGGTTCCCGGGTATTTCTCAGTGCGCTGGATCTGCCTCCAGACTTCCCGGATCATTGTCACAAGCTTTTGGATGTTTCGGAAAGTGCCGGGAAGAAAGGGCTCCAGGGGGGGGGGGGGGGGAGAAAGGGAGGGAGGGAGGGAGGGACGGACCACATCCACCACCTGCGTTTCCACGCCATGAGGGGGGAGGGGCGGGGGCGCTCGTCTCCACGGCGAGACGAGGCTCGAAGGGCAAGTCTGGAAAGCGCCACGGAGGGGTGGGTGGGGGGGGGGGTGGAAGGATGGGGTGGGAGAAGGGAGATTGTTGCAAAGGCTTTCACGTCCCAGCTTCGGCGGCTTTCACATGTTTTCGGCACTCATCGGAGACGTAGGTCTTGTATAACATCTTGTAACATGCTTCTGGAAGGGGGAAGATGAAACGATGGAGGGAGGGAGAGAGGGAGAGGGGAGGGAGGAAGAGGGGGGGACGGACAGAGGAGGGGGAACGGAGGGAGGAGCAACTCCACTCGGATGCAGGTAGGAGGGAGGAGGGAGGAGAGGGGAAGGAGGTAGGAGGGAGAGCGGAGGGGGGGACGGACAGAGGAGGGGGAACGGAGGGAGGAGCAACTCCACTCGGATGCAGGTAGGAGGGAGGAGGGAGGAGAGGGGAAGGAGGTAGGAGGGAGAGCGGAGGCAGGCGATGGGGAGGAAGGGGGAGTGGAGGAGGATGAGGAAGAGAAGGAGGAGGAGGAGGGATGAGGGAGGAAGGGAGAGTGGAGGAGGGAGGGAGGAAGGGAGAGTGGAGGAGGAGGATAGGGATGAGGAGAAAGGACGCCCCATCAACTTCTCGAGACGTAGGCGGACAGTCTGCACGGCCCTACGAGCACGAGCCCGTTTCGGCCCATCCCTCCCGCTTTCGAGTAGGGGATCCACTACATAACTGGTTTGCCCTTAAATTGATTTTCTCGTCGAATCTCAAGAAAATACCTGGAGTGATCTACGAGCACTTTATTTTTCGTACACTCGGCGAGAAAATTAGTTTTCAGGGTAGACCAGAGTTCTGTTCTCGATCCCCCACTCGACCCTTCCTCCCTCCGTGCGAGCACCCGCTGGCAGGTCTGCTGGCCTCGCCTCGCGCAGAGCCTCGCCTGCCGCTGTGTCGCTGCGCGCCGGAGCCTCGTCTGGCCGCTGCGTCGCTCGGCCTGTGGCCCCGACGGTCGCCCTTTTGTTCTGCCTTTGCGCGGACGTGCTGTCGCCTGCCGCGACGCAGGCTGCACCGGACTCCCTCGCTAGGCCGGCAGGGTGGGCGGGAGCCGGGGTGTTTTGAAGCCCCCACTGTACACTGCATCGTCGACGCTGCTCCTTCGACGTTGCTCGTTCGATGCTACACCGTCCCATCGTCGACGGTGCTACTTCGATGCTGCACCGTAGGCAAGTTGGCTCGAAGAGCCGAAGAGCTCCAAAGGGGCGAAACGCGCAGCCCAGTTTCATTCCGCCTGAGACTCGGTTCGAGACAAGGATGCGAAGGAGCAGCCACAGAGAGGCAGCAAGCAGAGAGGGCCAGGGAGAAACAAGGCAAAGCACTCTGGCCTGGTAGAGCCAGTCACCAGACTTGTCGAAGGGCAGGTACCCCTCGAAGGGGACAATGGCGATCAGGCGGCCCAGGAAGATGAGGATGTAGCACTCCATCATCTTGAGAGATACGCCCTTCGGCGGAGAGGCGGTCACATCGACGTGCCATGGCAGACGGTAATACAACCGCAGACAAAAAATGAAGCACGATCTTTCGACTGTCCGCGCAGATGTCTCGCCTCAAAGATCTCTCGTCTCCCAAATAATAAAATATCGAAGACGACAGGCACACCAGAGAAGGAAGGACCCCTGGAAAAGCAAACAACTGAGTGGACATAAACGTTCGCAGGTCGCGGGGATCTGCTAATGATCCCCAGCCCAGGCGCGCGGAGCGCGCCAGGGGCGGCGCCAGAGGCGCCGCCAGGTGGTTCTGGCGCCGATCCAAGACATCCGCGCGCACCGTCGTGCAAATCTGGCTGGCAAGGCAGGAAGAACAACGAGATTGCCACGAGGCGAGGGAGCTCCGAGCCCCGTTGGGCCTTCACCGACTGCGTGGCCTCTATCTTCATGGCCACCATCAGGAAGCTGAACACACTCACCTCCCCGTAGCGCACTCAAAGGCTGCCCTCGATCGCAGATAGACCTTTCGAGATTCGGAGTTCGAGGTTTTCACACGTTGTCGTCGTTCTCGGCGGTTTTCCAGCCTCGGGATGCCCTCCAGCATCTGCACCTCGCCGAAGGCGTTGCAGGGTTGCCCAGAACCTCCCGAACGGCCGCCAGCGACCCAAGTTATAAGGCCCGAAGACAACCAGGGGCAGCGTCAGGGGGGATCTAAGCGCAAGGGGGTCGACCGCGTCGCCCGCACAACCGCCTCGAACGAACCAAACGCTATATCCTTGGAGCGGGGGCACCCCAGGATCATCCGATGTCCTGATCTTTCTGGCGGCACACATCCTCAAGGCCGTATGCGATGACAGCAAAACCGAACATCGACCGAACCGACAAAAAAAAACGAAGCCGACCGAAATCGACAGGCCCCAAAAAGCTGCCTTGAGGGGCGCAAACGACGCGGCGACGACACGATAGCCGACCGAACGCAACCGACTGCGACGCAAGCGAACCGACCGAATCGCGAACACCCGTGCACCCTTCGCCCTCTGGTCCAGCATTTGGCCGCAGCTGGCCTCCGAAGACCACAAACTGGCGGCAGCCAGGCCATCCCGACGCCTTCGACCCGCCGGAGGTCCGGGGCAACCAGACCGACAAGTGCGGCGAGCTCGTTGGGTCGGCGGCGAGCTGGCTCCAGCAGGCGGCCGGCTATCGGCGGGGCGCGTCGCAAGCGAACTGGGCAGGGGGGCGGGGGCAGGCAGGGAGGGGGAGCACGGGGAGGGCCGCGCGACGGCCAGAGCGCCCTCAGCACGTGAGGATATCTCCGGCAGGCGCCGAGGCCATGGCCCCCTCTCCGAAGCTGGCGAGGGGCCTCCGGGGGCCGCGCGCGGGGCGGCCCCCGGAGGCGGGCCCTTTGCCTGCCCGGGCGGGCCGCAGCCCAGAGCGGCCTCGGCGCACGGCGCCGCCCGTCGAGAGCACCGCAGGCCCCATGGCCCCCTCGGGTCACGGGCGGAAGCACGACGGACCGCTGCTGGTAGCCTTCGGCCTCCGGAGGCCCTTGCTCGGCCCCTGGCCCGTCGAAGAGAACGGCTCCTGCAGAACAGCCAGTCCCCAGGGAACGGTCCAGACCTCCGGGAGCCCACGCCAAGAAAAAACACAACGTCGGGGGTCCGTCGAGGGAGGCCAGGGAAAAAGGGGGGCTAGCGCATTCTGGCCCGAGGCGTTGTTCACGGAGGAGGAGGGGCCAGGGAACGCGTTGTGAAAGAGGAGGGGGGGCTATGAGGTCTTGGAGGCTTCATGGCCCCAGCCATGACACCAACCCCACCCGCCCCCAGTCCTCACTCTCACACTCACACACACACACACACACACACACACGCACACACACACACACACACACACACACCTTCTGGCGCGCCCCCGAGGTCCCAGGCGGCGCTCCCGTTGGCGATCTGCGCCCGAGACCAAAAAATACCGAGACCGCTACTCCCTGGACCTCTCCTCGGGTGCGTTCTGCCTCCAGCCTGTGAGGCCCGACGGGGCGAAAACGAGGCGAGGGCAGCGAGATCGGCATCTCTTCCTCCTCTGAACCTTGGGCTGCCCTCGGGGGCCCGAGGCCAGACAGCACTGCTCCACCCGCTGTCTGCACGCCACCCCCAGACCCGCCGCGTCCTGCTTTTGTTCGCAGCGTCGACCCCCCGAGGTCTGCACCTCTGGCCCAGGACCGGTCTGGCATCCCGAGTCGTCTTGGGACGGGGCCCGACACGCGGCCCCAGAGGCCGAACACAACAAGACCCTCCCGCCGCGATCGGTTTCGCCACGCGAGGGGGTCCTGGGCGCGGGGCCCTGCCACTCTTCCTCGTCCTCGCCGCATCTCGCCCCGGTCGCCCCCAGTGCTGCAGCTCTCCGTCCCGCCCTCGCTCACCAGCTACAACCAGGCAGGCGTAGGGGAAGCCAATCGCATGGACGATCTCTCGTCCCTCAAGAGTGAAGGGTCCGAGGGACACACAAATATAAATAGTCACGAACCCCAGAGTCCCCATAGATGTTTTCATATGTTCTGGGTTGTCGTCTTCCCCTCCATTTCCGTATGTTCGTAAATATTCACAGGAATCGACGTTTAATTGTGTCCGTGCTTTTCCCCTCCTGAAAAAGAAAGGTCTCGAAACCGACGGGCTCCCCGTGAATGGAAGGGCCCCTAGAGGAGCAGAAAACCGTACAATCGGACTTGATTGGAGAGGACACGCGAGAGGACACAAGACCCTTTCGAGGGATACATCGCCGTTGGAATGTACAAAGGAACGCCTCTTTAAAGACAGGACACAAGGCTACCCTTGATTTACCGTTGTCGACCTACTAATCAAGGCCGACAGTATCAAGTTTCGGAGGTCCGCGGAATTTCTTGGGTCTGCGCTGGAGCCGCCTCCGCCCGCGCGCGGAGCGCGCCAGGGGCGCCGCCAGAGGCGCCGCCAAGGGGCCCCAACACATATTCAAGAAATCCCCGCGGAGCCGCGAAAGTGAACGCTTATGGGGGGGAGGCGGAGGAGGAGGAGGAGGAGGAGGAGGAGGAGGAGGAGGAGAAGTAGGAGGAGGAGAAGTAGGAGGAGGAGGATAGGATAGGATAGCACCATGACGATGTCAATGAAACAAAAAGATCGGGCCACCCTTGAGCTTGCCGTAGAAAGAGGCGAACCAGAAAGCGACCACCACGACCCAGCACCCGGACGGCATGAGCAAGAAATGCGAGGAACAATTACGATACCACGCACGAGTACCTCACTCCAGAAACGTGTGCTGCCGAAATTTCACTCCTTCCAGCCAGCCACCCATACACTGAGCTACAAGCGCCGAAAAACCGGACGAAAATCACACCTCGAGCATTCATGGGGCACGCGGGGCCCGTACAGATTAGCAGCAAGCTCATCCCAACCCACCAAATGATAGTAGGAAAAAAATGCCAAGCCGTCGATGCTGAGCAGTCCAGCCGAAGAAATGAAACATCCCACGAACGCCAAGACACTATGCGAACCGTTCTGCGAAGGAAAACGAGCCTTGACCCAAGCACACACTCAGCGGGCCCATTGCGGCACTGCAAGAGAGGGCGCGCCGACGGACCGCTGCTATTGAGCCTTGCTCCATTACGGGTAGCTGCCACTGCCCGCAATGCCTGAGTTCTCGCACCTGCTGATCACGGCACTGTAGCTGATAACGGTCGGGCTAACATCGCCTTTCACATCGAGCCACTCTCCGACAGGATTAGCTGCCACTGCTCGCCGTTCCCGCACGTGCTTGACCCAAGATCGAGACTCAGCTGGTCCGTTACGGCACTGCAGGGGAGGATGCGCCGACGGACCGCTCGCACTGAGCCTCGCACCGATACTGGTAGTTACCACTGCCCGCCGCTGCCTGCTTTCTCGCACCACGTCTGCACGATAACGTGCGCCGTGTTTTTTCGAGGATGCCGCAGCAGCGCCTCGGGGCCACCACCTTCCCTGTGGGTTTTCGAGGATGCCAATGGCAGCGCCTCGGGGCCTCCACCTTCCCTCTCCTCTGTCCGTGCTGCTCCCTGGTGCTGAAACCCAGCGGGTCCATTGCGGCAACGCAGGAGAGGATGCGCCGACGGACCGCTCTTGCTGAGCCAGCACTGTCACTGATAACTGCCGCTGCCCGCCACTGCCTGCCTTCTCGCACGTGCTGATCCCGACGATGTAGCTGATGACGGTCCGCCTAGCTTTGCCTCCCACCCCAAGCCACGCACCGACTGAAATAGCTCTTGCACGCCGTTCTCGCGCCTGCCAGGCCACGCATTGACGCGGAAGCCGCAGAATCAACCTTGCGAACAGGTTGAAATACGAACTGGTATACTGCAGCCACTGCCCTTTGCCACCGCTGGCCCATGACAACAATGAAAATAATAACATGCCGAGGGGCCGCGTCTTAGTCTCACATGCCTGCCTGTTGTCACCAAACGTTCTTCTCGCACGCACTGATCCGAGCGTTGTAGTTGATGAAGTTGGCTCCGCGCCTACCCATGTAGCTTTGCAACGAAAGCCCGTTGCCTCTGATTGCTCGCCTCTCACGTGTTGACGAAGGCGTTGTAGCTGATGACGGTCGGTGCACACTTCAGCTCTCGCATGCCGTTCAACTGCCACTGAGCACCCGAACCCTGCACGCCAAACACGCGTGCGCCGAGTCCAGTACTGTAGGAGAGGATGGCAGGATTCGACGCTCGAAGAAAGTGTACCAACCAGAGGATGTAGCACCAAGCAGAACAAAGTGGTAAGCATTCAGAAAGCCCTGGCTGAAGGGTTCCAAGCCCTGCCGGAGGTCTGAATACCCCTGGATGGCCGCCTGCTCGAAACTTTCGCCCCACTTCGTCGCCCAGAAAAACGGCACACGCGGTGCTGCAGCCTAGGCGTCCCTCAAGCGCCAACGCGGAGGCCTGGGACGTGACGTCGAAGCTGCCCGAAGCCAAAAGGGTACGGAGAAGCCTCGATCCACATGTGCTTGAGGGATGAGGAGGAGGAGGAGGAGGAGGAGGAGGAGGAGGAGGAGGAGGAGGGAGGAGGAGGAGGAGGAGGAGGAGGAGGAGGAGGAGGAGGAGGAGGAGGAGGAGGAGGAGGAGGAGGAGGAGGGGAGGAGGAGGAGGAGGAGGAGGAGGAGGAGGAGAAGGAGGAGGAGTGGAGTGGAGCAATCGGACGTAGCCCGTTCGGAACCCAGAGATGCCAGGGGGGCCATCCAGTATTTCTCGGAGGGCCGTGGGGGGCGACATCCCACGGCCCACCGCGACAGGCCCCCCGGGCCTCAATTTACTCGGAGGCAGCTCCCGCCGCGTAGGAACCGATCGCGGCTTCGGCTGCCGAAACGTGCAAAGCCTCTAGCACTGACTTGCTGGGGCCCGATCTGGACGGGTGGAGGCCTCGCCTGATCCTGCTGAGGTTCTCGAGGCCTTTGCCAGTGGGTCCCAGGGCCCTGCGCTCTCCCACTTGGT